AGCACCTGTCACCTAAAGTCCCTGCTGCTGGCCGTGTACGCGTGGTTTGCTATCGGCTGTGTCGGTCCTTCATTCCTTCTCCTGGCCGAGCGGTATCCCCGTGTGGACACGCAGCCATCGACAGCCGAGGGACGTGGGCTGCTGTGTGCACAGGTTTTCGCTTCTCTTGGGTGTGTTTTTGTCTCTCGTTTCTTTTTTGGTCTCTTGGGGCCCCTCGACATGGCCCCCAAGTCTCCTGGGGCAGGCTGATGTCACACTGACGCTTTCTCGGCAGGAGGCTGGGCGCCCTCGTGTGTGGCGTGGCACGGGCCTGTGGGTCCGCCACGCAGAAGGGCCGCGGCTGGCGCTGGGGGCCTCCGGGCTTGGCCACCGCAGCCAGGGGCCCGGCGCCTCCGGGGCCTCCCGCCGCGGCAGGACGTGCGCGGCGCTGGGCGCAGTGCCGGGCGCGCCCTGCCCGACTGGCAGGGCTGCTTTCTCTGCCAGATGCAGGGCTTCTGCCGGGCCGGTCTCCCCGCGAAGCTCTGGGGAGGGGCCGGCGGGGGCGGGGGCTGCGGGCCGCCCGCAGCCTGACACGGGTCACGGCCAGCGGTCCCAGAGGGGCCCAGAAGGTGGGCTCCTGCTCACGGCCCAGCGTGGCCCGCCCAGCCAGTCTCCGGTGAAGGAGGCCTCGGCTGGGACCGGCGCCAGCGGCCCTCGCCTGGTGGGGGCGTGACCTGCGGGGCCGCCCTGCGGCAGGGACAGGCGCTCGCTGGTCGGGCTGCCGGAGCCCCCGTGGGAGAGCTGGGCGAGGAGGTGTCTGGGCAACGCGAGCACCCTGTGCGGGTGCCCTGGGCACGTCAAGGGCTCCAGAACAGAAGCCGGCCAGCGGCGTGGAGGCCGAGCACTTTTTCCTGAAGGGGACATGGGGTCCGCCTGGGGGCCCGAGGCCACCGTCCTGTTTTCAGAGGGTACGTGAGGCCCCGCGCTGGGCTGGGAGTGGGGCAGCGTCCCTGGCCCCCTGGCTGGGCTCCTGACTCCCTCCCCCCGCCGCCCCACACTCCTGCCCGGCCACGGTTTTCATCCAAACAGCAAACCCCCTCTGCGCTGGGGACGGCCGCTGGGTCTGCGTGGGACGCGGTGGGTCAGCCCCGCGGGAGGGGCCCCCCCGGTGCAGCCACCTGGCCTGGGCTCCCCGGCCCGGGGACGGGAGGGGCTGGTCGCAGAGGAAGCGGGCGTGGGCGGTGCCCGGGCCTGCCGCCTGTGGCACGGAGCCTGCCGTTGGCCCAGAGTGGGTCAGGAGGCCAGGCGGGCGGGTGCCAGGGGCCGGCCCTGGCCCACAACCACATGACCTGGCTGAGTCAGCCAGAGAACCTCGAGGTGTGGCCGTCACTGTCCCCTGCACCCGGCAAGCCACTTCCTGCTCCCCTCCCCAGGGTTCTGCCACTCGGCTGCTGTGTCTGGGAAATGTCTCTCTGGGGAGGCCCGACCCCCCCTCCCGACTCTGGCCCGCTGCCCTTTCTCTCTGTCCCTGCCATCGGCCGTCTCCTCGGGGCAGGGGGCACTGGGGGCCTGGAGCCGCGCCGCCTCCAGGGGACCCGGCCTTGGCTTGAGCCACGAGAACTCAGGCTGGTCTCTTCCCCTCTTGGGGCCTTGGTTTCTGCATCTGTGAAGCAGGGTGACGAGCTCCGCTCCCCTCGCCTGTCCAGTGTCACAGGGTCGCGGCAGATGGGGAGGAACTCACTGAAGGGCCTGGGGCACCGGGGGTCCGTCAGCACCGGGCGCTGGACAAGCCCCACCCAGGTCCCCCGTCCGGACCGCAGCCACATCAGGATGCCCCGGCGCGCGCAGGGGGCTGCTCCCGCGGGGGCAGCCTGTCCAGGAGCAGCGGCCTGGCGCATTCCCGGGCCCTCATGTTGGCGTCCGTTCCCCCGGGCAGGGGATGGCCTCGCGGGGTGGCCCTGGAGACCTGGCTGGTTTTCTCTGTCCTCGTGGTCACTGGCCTTAGGACCTGAGCAAGTGTCTGGAACGCAAAAGAGACCCCCACGTTCAAGGGCTCCGTGCGGTATTGACATGTGGCTGCTGTCCCGCCCTGGGCTGCGCCCGCCCCTCCAGGCGCTGAGCAGCCGGGCTTAGGCCGCCTCGTGCCGCAGCTCCCCTGTGACTCCGGAGCAGTTCCCCCGGCCCCAGTCCGTGCTGAGTCCGCCCGATCCAGGCGGACGTGTGCGTGGGGGTGCGAGGCAGCGGTGGCCAGACCGCGTGTGCCTGCATCAGCTCCCACCAGGTGTCACGATGGTGGCCCGAGCCGCACCGCCGCTGCCTGGGAACAGGTACTCACCGTCTCTGCGTCACCGCTGGGCCCGCCTGTCACACTGGGCACCTGTGGGCAGGGGGCTGGGCACACACTTTGTTCCCTGTCTCGGCCTCGGCAGGGGCCCTCCTCAAACCCTGCCACCCCCCTGAGCCAACCCCCGCGCACAAAGAGGGACGCAGAGCCAGGCGTGGCTAGCTGAGACCCCACAGCCAGCGGAGGCAGGGCTGGCCGCTTCCTCCAACGCCGCCTGGTCCCCAGACCTCCACGGGACGGCGACGACAGGAGGCATGTGGTCGGAATTGTGCCCCATCCCGCCCTGCAGGTGGGAGGTGACCCCTTCCGAGCCTCAGCCGGGCCCGGAGAGCTGAGGCTTGGAGACCTCCGGCCCCAGAGTGCGTCGCCTGTGCAGCCGCGGCCTAACGCACAGTGACCTTTCCTTACAAGGATCCCATTATTCTGGTCCAAAGGTGGGCGTTTGGTGGCAGGAGGGGGCAGCTCAGCAGACAGCTTCCCGCGGGGGACTGCAGAGTGCCCCTGGCAAAGGGGTTGGCCTGGGCTGCTTTCCCAGCCATGCCCTTGGCCCGTCGGCCTTGTCACTGGATCAGAGAGCTTGTCACCGCCAGGTGCTGAGCCAGGTGCTCGAACTCAGGGACTGGGGGCTGGCTGGGCGGGGGCAGGGCCTGACCTGCACCGCCTGCTCTGAGCCAGCACCGCGTGGACCCACCACTCGCCGAGATTGGGGTGCTCAGCTCACAGGGCGAGAGGCACCCAGAGCCGACTCTCTCCCGTGCTCTCCCCATGTCCCCCTTCGACATTCAGGTGGCCGCTGGCCCGGCCAGGGCTCTGTTTCCTCGTCCCCCAAGGACCGGCCCCTGCGGGACTGGGCGGCAGCGGTCACCTGGCCCTCCCAGCCTCCGGCCTCCCCGGGGCCGCCAACCGTCCGATCCCCCTGCCCCCTGCCAGGGAGTACCAGCCAGGCCACCTTCCTCGGCGGCACGGGGCACCCGGCATGGGGGTGGCAGGCGGCCACACAGGAACCTCGCCAGGGTTGTGGGGGAAATCCGCCCCCAGCCCGGCCCCGGCGACCTGTCCGAGGGCCCTCCCTGACCCACAGACAAGGGGGAAGGGAGCCCGGGCCTTTGCTCTGGCGCCCTGGGCCACCGACACCTGCTGCTCGCCCTGCTCCCTGGGCCGGAGACGCAGGGGACAGACAGACAGGCGGGCACGGCTGCCTTTCCCAGAACGCACCTCCTGTGGGGGAAGAGCCAACATAGAATTAATGAATGTAAAAGACGCGGGGAATTCACACCGTGTGAGAGACAAGGGGCGGCAACCCCCAGGGAGGTGACATTTAAGCTCAGCGTGGAATTGGGGAATCTGAGACAGGCCCAGCCGCTGGGGATGTGGGCGGGGGCGTGGGGGGCGGAGGGCGCCCAGGGGTGGAGAGCCGACACCCGCAGCGCCCGGGCAGGCCTGTGCTCTCGAGCAGCGAGGAGCCACCTGGGCAGATGTGGCCTGGGTTTACCTTGGCCAGAAAGGTAAATGACCAGGAAGTGCCCTGCCTTGGCCCCTGAGATGACCCAGCCGGTGGGCGTCGGCAGCCCGACAGCAGCCGGGGGTGGGCACCGGGGCCCAGGGACGCGTGTCTCGGGAGAGCTGTGCGGACGCCGAAGCCCCCGAGGGAGAGGTGCCGCCCTCCCTGTCTGAGCCGACGGCTGGCAGGGGCCCGGGTCTGGGGGTGACGGGACACAGCGGGGGCGCTCTCCAGACTCACCAGCGTTGTGTTCAGGTTGGTCGGTGTCCCTTCCACGCCGTCAGTCCAGTCATTCGAAAGTCACTTCTGATGTGTCTGCGGGGCAAATAAGAAGGAAGCGGGGAGGGAGAGGCAAGCAGGCTGCTGGGGGTGCGGGGCCTGGCTGGAAAGAATCCTGGAAGGAGCGGCGGTGATGGTCGATGGTGGACGGACGGACAGAGGCGGGCGGGAGGGTCAGCGGGTGTGGGGTGGGTGGGTGGGTGGTGGATAGAGACACGGTGGGTGGGTGGGTGGGCGCATGGATTATAGGTGGGTGGAGGATGGGTGGGTGGGCGGGAAGGTGGGTGGTGGGCAGGGAGGTGGGTGGGTGGACAGAAGAGTGGGTGGCCTGGAGGGTGGGCAGACGAGTGGGTGGGTGGTTTTGTAGTCAGTCCAGCTCGGCTCAAGCGCGGACATTGCCAATCCGCTGTGTGACCTTGGGCCGACATCCTAGTTCCCCCACCTGTAAAATGCAAAGAGAACAAGCCTGGTGGCCGGACAGCGGTTCGGAAGAGAGGGGGCTGCCCGCCCGGCTGCAGCCTTGGAGCCCCACCCCCTGACCCTGGGCCGTGCGCACAGAGGGGTTTGAGGGCTGCCGGAGGGCCCCGCCCCAGACGCCCCGTGCCACCCTGCCCGCCCCTGAAGCCCCGCCCGGGTCGCCCACCCACCCTGTCCCAGCAGGAAAGGCCCTGTGAGCCCGAGCCCCGCCCGGGAAGGCCCAGGGCCCTGGGAGAAAGTGGGGCCATTGTCCTGGGCTTGGCAGGAGGCCACTGGCCCACCCAGGGAGGTGGCAGGCCGCAGCCCTGGGCCTGAGCAGAGAGCGTGAGTGGGCCTTTCTGGAGCGTGTACTTGGGAGCGGACAGACCACAGGACTGGGGGGCCAGAGTCCCTGTTCCTCCAACACCTATGGGCCACAACCACAGGGCAGGGTCTTCCGCTTCCGGAGCCACGGTTTTCTCATCTGTACAACGGGCAGAGGTCAGAGGGGACGGTACTGTCAACTGTCTCCTGCCAGCCCCAGCCGTGCAGGGCGGGGGCGGGTAGCGCTGTTTGTTATAGGGGCTGTTGGGGGGGGTGAGGGGGGCGGGGAGGGCGAACTGCTCCTACCCGAGGGGACCCGTGAGCCGCCCGCAAGCCCTGGCAGGCGGGAGGACTGTGCCGTGGCCGCTGTCCTGTGGGCCAGGAAGGGGGCGCTGCGTCGGGGCGGGGGCCGGGTGGCAAAGGGAAGCCCACGCAGCAGTGGGAGCCTCGGGCGCACCTGGTGCGAAGCGCGCCTGTGCCGTCTCTGTGTTCAGTGCCCAGGCATCACGGATCCGAGCCGGCGGGGGTGCCGTGGCTGGAGGAGGCGGAGGGCGGGGCGGGTCTCCCGGGTGGGCCCGCACCTGCCAGCGCCCCCTCGCCGTCTGGGTCCCCCGGCTTGCCTGCCTGTGTCCCCTCCCTCTGGGCTGTCTCCCTGCGTGTGTCCACTTGGAGCTCCATCAACAGGGAAGGGGAAATCCGATGGCCCAGTTTGGGTCAGGGGCCACCGCAGGGCCGCGAGGCTGGGGCCGGGGCCCCAGGAGGCAACGGGGAGCTCAGGCCGGGGTCGGGGTCTCCCGTGACAGGCCGTGCTGAGACTCGGCTGCTGCGGCCCTCCCTCGCTGGCCCGGGCAGGTCTGAGCTGGGCCGCGTGGCCTCCCGGGCCGGCCGCCCCTGCTGAGCCGCAGGTCCCCCTCAGACGTCCGGAGGGGGTACCTGGTGTAAGACGGGGCGGCCCCTGCGCTCAGCCTGACTTGCGGGGGTGGGAGGTGGTCGCACGCCCGCCAATCGGCCCCCAGCGCTGCCCCTGGTCTCCTGGCAAGGGTGACCCCGTGCTCTGCTTCCTCTCAGAAGCCCCCCAGCGCCGGCGCCATGAAGGAGGAGGCCTTCCTGCGCCGCCGCTTCTCCCTGTGCCCGCCTTCCTCCACCCCACAGAAAGCCGACCCCCGCAGACTGGCGCGGAACCTGCTGCTCGGCGGAGAGAGTGAGCTGTTCCCTCTCGGCCCAGGTCAGTGCCCACCGGCTCCACAGCCCCCCTGCGTGACCGCAGCAGGCCCCTCCCCGCTCCGGCCGGTGGAGGGCCGCAGCCTTGCTCACCCAGCCCCTCGGCGCCGAGGGCGGAGCGCCATGGCCCGCCGGCCAGGTGAGGCCCAGGCGGCCTTGGGGGTGGAGGAGGGGCCCGCAGTCCAGGCCGGGGGGCAGCTCGGCACCCTCAGCGGCCCCATGCAGGGGTGCCGGACAGGCGGCCTAAGTCCCCGCCCCAGCTCTCCGGGCCGGGAGAGGGGGATGCTGGGCCGGCAGCGGGACCTCTCTGGCCTCAGACTCCTCATCTGTAAAATGGGGGTGATATCAGCGCCTGCGAGGCTCGAACAAGTCCCGGGCCCCAGGAGGGGACGGCCAGACCAGGGTGCTCTTGTACAGCTTGTGGGCAAAGCACCCAGCACACAGGACACGGGCCCCCCCCACCCCCCTTATTCTCCAAAGGCCGCCCCATCGGAGTGGGGCAGTGCCCTCTGCCGGGGAGCCCAGCCCTTCCTTCCCGGTGCCCCGTGGGGGTGGGGGGAGGGGCCGCCCCTGCCCCAGGAGACCTCCTGCCTCCCCCAGCCTGCCCGCCGCTCCCCCCGCCCGCTTTGGGGGGAGGCGGGGGGAGGAGCCCCTCCCAGCCACGGGAGCCGCCCTGCCTCTGGGGAGGCGTATCCGGCCCACAGGCTCTCAGGACTCGAGGGGCTTCTGGGGCCTGTCCCATCCAGGGTCTCATCAAGCACATGGGGAAACTGAGACCGTGGGGGGAGGATGGCCCCGTGGAAGTGCACGGCAGGTGGGGGGTGCGGGGCGCCTGAGGAAGTAAAGCCCACCTTTATTCTCTGTCGCCAGGCCCTCACAGGACGGGTGGGGGAGGGGACGGTTCCTCAGGCTTGGGGGGAGCGGGCGTCCCTGCCCCTAAAGGGGCTCTGAGGGCCCCAGCCCCTCCCCGCCCAGCACGCAGCAGCCCACGGGGAGGCCACAGGCAGGAAAGGGCGCCTTGGAGGCGGAGACCGTCCCTGCCTCGCCCAGCGGGGGCTTTGGGTCGGGGTGTGGGAGGCGGTGTGTTCTGGGGCCCTTCCCCCTCAGTGAGCCTGGGGCTTGCAGGACAGCGTCACTTCCTCAGGTCCCCGTGCCGGGGGTCCCCAGCCCCCCAGCCCCATCCCAGACTTCCCCGGGTGGGCTCTCTGGCCGGCGCAGGTCCTCGCTGCCCACCAGGGTGGCTCCACCCCCAGGGTTCCCACCTCCTGTCCCTGCTCCACGGCCGGGACTTCCTCCTGCCCGTAAACCTTTGCTCTGGGAACCGGCTTTGTGACAAATGGGGGGCGGAAGGGCAGCTGACAAGTCAGGCTCCTGCCCTCCTCCTCAGCCCCTCTGGGGAGGGCGCAGCACCTGCAGGGTGCGTGTGGGGACCCTGTCCCCGTCCCCCTCCGGGAGTCCAGCCCCCAGGGGCCATGGAGTTCGGGAAGGGGATTCAGGGCGCAGGAGGAGGCCGGGCACAGTCCTGGGGGGCCCCTGAACCCGCAGGGGCCTCCCCGCTGGACGCCGCGTTCGTGACCTTACACACCCGCGAAGGGCAGGCTGCAGGAGCCCGAGGCGTGCGTCTCCTCCCTGCGGGTTGCAGAGGCTGGGCCAGAGCTCTGGGTCCCTCCCAGCGTTAACGGTGACACAGTGACACACTAGCTGGCGTTGATTAGATCTCTGAGGCAGTGTCCTGCAGCAGCCACCGCCTCCGACCGGCTTCCTGCCCCACCCAGGACGCCCGCCGCGCGAGGGCAGCCAGCGGAGCGGCCGGGCGCCCGCCGTGCACCTCACGCCAGAGCTCTCTTACAGGGAAGGACATGGAGCCCAACAGCCCGTCGCTGCCACGGGATGACGGGCCCCCGACCCCTGGCTCCGCCACCAAGTTGCCACCGGTAAGAGCCTGGCCACAGAGGATCCCAGGGCCGAGAGCCCGCCTAGGGGACCCCAGGAAGTGGCCGGACGGGGGGCGGGCAGGGGCGCCAGCAAGCAGGCCATTCCCAGCCCATCGCGAGGGGCCCGCTCAGAGTCCCAGGCTCCCAGTCCCGGAAAGGCCGCCACCAGCACGCAGCTCCGCCTCCTTGTTCTGTGACAGCCACCTGCTTGGGGTAACGCAGGGTGGGCGGGTTGGCAGGGGGCCGGGGAGAGGTGCGGGCTGCCAGGTGGCATTCGGGGACAGAAAGTCAGGATAAAAGGAGCCCCTTGTCCTAGTGAAACCCACGGCAACGTGAGCCTTTCCTCCCTCAGCCCGGCCTGCGCAGCTCCCTCCGCCAGGGCCGCCCCTGCCGGGGACGGGGACGCAGGGCTCTGGAGGAGTGCACGCGCACGCTCACACACTCCTGCGCACACGCACACACTCGCGCACGCTCGCACTCACACCCAGGCCGGCCCCTCTCGGCTCACGCCCAGCCGCGGCCTTCGGTCCGCGCCGGGTCTGGGCCGGGGGCCGGGCCTCACGCCCTGGCAGCACGGGGCGGCTCTGGGCCTGGCGACGGGGCCGGGGCAGCCCAGGCGGAGGCCAGGCTCCCCTGCCGCGGCCCCCGGCGACCCCCTGTGACCTAGGGCGACGGCCTGGTTCCCCTGGGGCCTGTGTCCACGAGCTGCAAGTCGGGGCTCGTGGTGGTTCTGATGGGCTGTCCCTGTGTCCACCTCCGGGGAGCAGCCACCCGAGCTTTGGTGGGTGGCCCCCCCCAGCCTGCATTTCCCACCCCCGGCCCCCGGCTGCCGGCTGGAGGGCGAACAGCGGGAGCACCTGCACTTGTGTGTGAGCGGGTATGTGCGCGTGAGTGTGAGTGTGTGCATGTGTGAGATGTGGTGTGAGTGTGAGGGTATATATGTTCGTATGCGTGTATGTGTCTATGTATGTGTATCTGTGTATATGTAAGTATATGTGGCTGTGTATACAGGCATGTGTGTATGCGCATGCATACATATATGTGTGTTGTGGGATTTTAAGTAATTTTTGAAATTTTTAATTTCGGTAAAATAGCGGTAACATAAAGCTCCCCACTTTAACGATGCCTGAGGCGCAGCTCAGTGCCATGAAATACCCCCGCAGTATCGCGCAGCCGTCACCGCCGTCACCTCCGGAACTTTCCTCCTTCCCCAACGGACGCTCTGTCCCCACTGAACACTCGCTCCCCCGCCCCCAGCCCCCCGGACCCACTGTCCCACTTTTGTCTATGAGTCTGACCCCCTGACCCCTCCAGGGCCTCCTGTGAGGGGGTCGCGCAGGCCCTGTCCTTCGCGTCTGGCTTCTGCGCTCAGCTCAGCGTCCTCGAGGACCGGCCACGTGGGGGCGGGGGTAGGAGGCCCTTCCTTGTCCAGGCTGAGTGACAGTCCCCGGTGTGGAGGCACCACGTTTTGTGTGTCCGTTTATCTGTCAAGGGACACTGGGCTTATTTATTTTTTAAGATACAAGTTTACTGCATCAAAACACCAACATGGTTATGTCCTCCTACGACCCAATAAAACAGACCACAGAAACGCTCACCTTCTCCACACTTCAGGCTCCACACATTCGGCCAATAGGTCTCTTCTGAGCGTCTTCTCTGTGCAGGCCCCGCCACCGCTGGGGTGCTGGGGATGGGGTGCTGGGGATGGGGTCCCGGGCCGGACAAAGTCCCTGCTGCCCCGCCTCCGTGCCCTGGCGGGGGCGACAGGCGCCGGGCACAGCCTGTGAGCCTGCAGCGCCTCCTGGGACTGCTTGGCTGGGACAAGATGCAAACTCTCACACATGTGTCTGTATACGTATAAGTATAAATGTACATGCGCGTGTACATATACATGTGCATATATCGGTATAATACATATTTTAATGAGGTAAAACAAATACATTTAACCACTGTAAGTGCCCCACTCTGGCATTCAGTGCGCTCACAGTGCGCTCACACTGCTGTGCAACCGCCGCCTCTGTCTAGTTCCAGAACATTCTCATCACCCCACACGGAAACCCGCTCCCGCCAGCAGCCACTCCCCACTCTCCCTTCCCCCCGCTCCTGGCAGCCCCGGGGCCACGTCCCATCCCCACGCCCTGCCAGCTCTGGGCACTCACGTGGCAGGCGCCACAGCAAGTGGTCCCCTGCGTCGGCCTCTCTCAGGGAGCATAGGGTTTTGGCGCCACCCGGGTTGCGGCGTGTCAGCGCCGCGTCCCTCCCCTGGGCTGAGGACATGCCCGCGTGTGGGCGCACCGTGGCGGCCTGCCCGGTCATCCGTGGGCGCGCACTGGAGCTGCCTCCGCTTCTCCGCTCCTGTGGGCCATGCTGCCAGGAGTGTGCGCGCACACGTATTTGTTGGGGTCCCTGCTCTCGACCCCTTGGAAGTGCGGGTACAGGGGACACATGTGTGGCTCTGAGCCCCCTGCAGCCCCAGGCCCCACACTCATGTCCCTTCTCCCCCTCGGGGGTCTCCTGCAGGCGGACTACAGGCTGTGCAATGGGTCCAACAAGGAATGTGTGTCCCCAGTGGCCAAGGTCACCAAGAAGGAAACTCTCAAGGTGAGCCCGGGCCTGGGGAGGGGCCCAGGTGTCCTTTGCGGAGTAGTGGGCACCTTGGCCAGCGAGGCCACCACCCCCTAGCTTACCAAAGGGAGGGGGACAGGCGGCGCCCCGGCCACCCCCATATCCTCCCCTGCCTCTCCTCTCCCTGCCCCGCTGGACCGTGGAGGCCCCACGACGGAGGCGCTGGTGGCAGGAGGAGCCACGAGGTGGGCCAGGGCCTTCCCCCTTGACATGTCCGCTGGTGCCCCACGCAGGTGCAGAAGGAAAACTACCGGCAGGAGAAGAAGCGCGCCACGAAGCAGCTGCTCAGCGCCCTGACGGACCCCCGCGTGGTCATCATGGCCGACAGCCTGAAGGTAGGCACGACGGACACGCGTGTTGTCCCAGTGTCCGCACAGGTCACTCGGGAGGCCTCCCCAAGGGGTCGTGCAAAGTCGCCAGCCACTCAGCAGACCGGTTAGCATATTTGTTGCTGTCACTCTGGGTCCCTGTCCTGGGGCCACCCTAACAAATGACCACAAGCTGGGGGCTTCAAACCAGAGAAATGTATTCTCTCCCAGGCCCGAAGGCTGAAGTCCAAACCTAAGGTGCCGGTGGGGCCGTGCTCCCCAGATTCCGGGGGAGGGTGCTGCCTGCCTGCCCTGGCTCCTGGGCCCCCAGGCCCTGGGCTCGGGGCCGCTCCTTCCACCACTGCCCCCGTCTTCACAGGTCTCTCCCCTGCCTCTGGGTCCCAGTCTCTCCTAGGGATGAGTCACTGGGTCAGAGCCCAGCCTCCTCCCACGCGGCCAATCTGCAAAGACCCCGTGTCCCCTGGGAAGGGGGTGAGGCCCTGCTGGAGGGGGGCCTGGGGTGCCCGTGCAGCCCTCCGCTGTGGCACAGAGGCGCGGGGTGAAACGTGGGCTTTGTGGGAAAGGACCGGGGTTGGGGTCGGAGGCCTGCGTTCAGACCTCACGGAGGCCGCGGGTGATTCGCTCAACCGCCAGCCTGGGCATCCCCTCCTTACGTGAGGGGCGGGCGGCTGTGAAGAGCAAACCAGGCACGTATAAGAGGAGCCTGGTCGTGTGCAGAGCCCTGGGCTGATATGGCCCCCTTTTATGTGTTTCTGCAAATCTATGGGTAAAAAAATTAGGTGCAAAAGTGAATGTGTTTAGAATGAGAAAAGAAATGACAAATACCAGAATTTAGAAAGCTGACAATGAGAGCCGTCACAGCTCATTGCTGCGGGAGGGCCTTGAACCTGAGCTTGGACTTGAATCTGGAGCTGCATGAACTCCAGTGAACCGGTCCTGGCTGCACTTCTTTGGATCCACTCTAACCTACGAGCCTCTTTGCAAAATGAGAAGAGACCACTGCCTGCAGCCCAGAGCCCCGCCCCCCGCCCTTGGCAAAAATAAGCGAAAAGAAGCTCTGGAAGCCCACTCGGCCATCTCGGCATTGGTCCAGGTCTTTCATTATTTTGTCTACGGCCAGAGGGTCTTTTTGATTTTCCAAAAATCCAGGGAACTCCTTTTCCATGAGTACTCTCAGGTCCTCCTTTGTTAAGTAGCCTTTATTCCCAGCAAATTTGTGAAATGTGAACATCATGGTTTCCATGGCGTGTTCCATTTGAGATGGCATTTTGGTGAGGTCTTAGCCGGAGGCGCGGCAGGATCACAAGCTGCCCCCCCCCAAGCCGCCCAGACACCCCAGGGCGCCGGCCTCGTGGGCACTGACACCCCTGCCCCTCACGCAGATCCGAGGGACCCTGAAGAGCTGGACCAAACTGTGGTGCGTGCTGAAGCCGGGGGTCCTGCTCATCTACAAGACACCCAAGGTGGGCCAGTGGGTGGGCACGGTCCTCCTGCACTGCTGCGAGCTCATCGAGCGGCCCTCCAAGAAGGACGGCTTCTGCTTCAAGCTCTTCCACCCACTCGACCAGTCCGTCTGGGCCGTGAAGGTACCGCTGGGGGTGCCGGTGGGGAGCCGTGCGGGAGACAGGCCCTGCTGGGTGGTCGGGAGGCTCGTCTGGGGGTCTCAGAGTGGGCTGTCCGTTCCGAAGGGGCCCCTCCTGCCTGCCTGGGGCCGGGGTGGGGGGGCGGAGTTGGCCGGGCGATCCGCTGTGGTCCCTGTTCCGCCGGGCGGGGCTCCGGGCCCAGGGGCACCCTGGAGTCAACATCCCACCTGTGGGGGCGCAGGAGTGGGGCCCTGCGAGTGGCAGGCTGCTCGCAGCCCAGACCTCAGCCCCCGTCCCTGGGCCCGCCCAGCGCAGGACCTGCTGCCGTCAGGCCCCCGGGCCAGATCCCGAAGGCTCAGGGGATCTGAGCTCAGGGGAAGCTGGGTTTCAGAGAGGGATCAAGCAGATGTTCTAGTATAAGCGTGTCCCAAATAGTGCACGGCATACGCGCAGGCTTTTAAAAAAGGTAATTACTATTTTTCTGAGGTTCTAATTTAGTGGGGCACCCTGGATGTGCACATCCTCACTCTGGCCACCCTGAATGGGGGGCTCGGGGCCGGAAGCCGAAGATGGGCCGCCAGCTAGGGCGGGGGTGCAGAGAGCTCCCCGCCCCCGGCTCTCCTCTCTTGCCGCCCGCTGGGTGTGCGTGGCCGGTGTCTGACGACGCCTGGGGACCCTGAGGCCCCACGTGTGCCTGTGTGTGTCCGAGCGGTTGCATCACCTGTGTTTCCGCCTGTCCCTGGGTGTCCCTGGGGGTGACGTTGGGTGTCTTGCCTCTCCAGGGCCCCAAAGGAGAGAGTGTGGGCTCCATCACACAGCCCCTCCCCAGCAGCTACCTGATCTTCAGGGCCGCCTCTGAGTCTGATGGTGAGTCCCCGCCTGCTCTGCGTGTCTCCCCAGTGACCCCGCCTGAAGCAGCACCCCCATCCCCGCCAGGAGGCAGCCTGCCATCCCGGGACAAGCCTGGCGCCAGGCAGGCCTGCCACTCACTAGTACCCACCTCTTTGGGCCTCAGTCTCCCCTTGGGCAGAACGTGAATAATAGCACCTGTCTCCCCGGTGGTTACGAGGATTTGATAACCTCATATAAAGCAGCCAGGTGACAGTTACCGAGCCCCAACCACGTGCCAGGCACCGTTGAACCCACAGATTCCACTGTCGCCATCATCCACCTTTGACCCAGGAGGCGAGGGGGGAAATCCCAGCAAGAAAGTGGGGGAGCGTGGACTGGAGTCCCAATTTCCTCCTCCCTAATGCATCGTGCGTTGTTGGAGCGCCCCCCAGCGGCTGCTCTGAGTAAAGCGGCTGCCACCCACCCCCTGCCCCACACCCCATTTCCCCACCTCGAACCAGCCTTAAGGGCTAGCCCCTCCTTGGGGAATGGGGTGAAGGCCTCCCACCCAACCAAGGGTCCTGGGCAGGCCGGCCCAGCGCGCAGGGCAGCCTGGCCTGACCACTGGGCTCCGGCCTTCTGGCTGGGAGCCCTGGGCCGGCGACAGACCTGCTGGTGCCACGGCGCCCCCTGGTGGTCGGACGCCGCATCCACGCGCCCGCGTGAGAAGTCCACCCTCCTTTCCCAGCCGCCTCTCTGCACCAGGCCCCCGCACGTGCCTGGGGATCGACAGGGAAGCCATGCTTGAGGGGCGGGGGGGAGGCAAGGGGACGAGTAGTGAGCCCTCACACAAGGGGGATCGCTGTTGACAGGGAGGGGCGAGGGCAAAGGCAGCGTCCCTGGGGGATGGGCTGGTGTAAGGGGTGGTCGGTTCCCAGGCTTGCAGGTCGGCAATCCCTGAAGGGCAAGGGCAAGGGGGAGCTTCCTGGTGGGGAGACAAGGGTGCTCTTTGGTGAGCACAGGCGGAGGCAGAGGATGAGGCCCCCAGGTAGAGGTGCAGAGGGTAGGGCTTCTTGGTATGGGGCGAGGGCGCCCTCTAGGGCAGGGGACAGGCGTCCAGGTCCCTAGGGAGCCGGGACTCCCCCAGGCAATGACGGAGTGGGGGCGAGGACGCTCTCTGGGACAGGGATGGGCGTCCAGGTGGATGGGACTGGGCTCCTGGTAGGGTGAGGGGCCCGGGCGGAAGCTGGGCTTGGGGACTCCCCGGCCGGTGGCTCACACAGCGCCCCCTCCAGGCCGCTGCTGGCTGGACGCCCTGGAGCTGGCACTGCGCTGCTCCAGCCTCCTGCGACTCAGCACGTGCAAGCAGGGTGGCGACCGGGAGCCTGGGTCCTCACCGGACGCGTCGCCCTCCTCGCTCTGTGGGCTGCCCGCCTCGGCCGCCATGCAGGACCAGGACCTGTTCCCGTGAGTGGGGGCGCGGCGAGCGGCCTGGGCCCCTCTTGGGAGCCCTGGCTCCTGCCTGCTGGCTCTCACTGGCGTGGTCTCACGGGCGTCCTCATGTGGGGAGGCGGACGACAGCCGCGAGTGCCGCCGGGCACCCATGCCTCCTTTTCTGCACAGTGGGCCTGGGAGCCTCAGCTTCCCCATCTGTGCACGAGGCGAACAGTGTCGATGCCAGTGGCCCAGAGGGTTAGACCCAGTGTGGGGCGCCTGGGTGGGGGTGCCCGGGGCGGGGGGAGCCCAGAGGTGCGGGCGCTGGGCCTCGCCTGTGACCAGGCGCCCACGGGTGCCTTCCAGACTGAACGGGTCCTGCCTGGAGAACGACGCTTTCTCAGACAAGTCAGAGAGGGAGGCTGCGGAGGAGTCGGACAGCGAGACCCAGGACCACAGCCGGAAGACCAATGACAGCGGCAGTGACCAGGTGGAGGCCCCGGGGGGCCCAGGGCCTCGAGGGACCACCTATGTGGAGCAGGCCCAGGAGGAGCTGTGGGAGGTGAGACCCCGCCAGCCTGTGACCCCTGCCACCCTGCACCTTGCCCCACCCCCGGAAGCAGCCCTGGCCACGCCTGGTGTCCTCTCAAGGAGAGTTTACAGGGCCCACAGGGCTAGGGGAACGAGATGCGGGGGAGCCCGCCGAGGGCCACGGCGGTTCGGGCGGAGGGTGGGGTAAGGCCACGGCGGGGGGCGGGGGCGAGGGCCTGCGGGGCCCAAGTGGGGCCTAGGGACCGAGGCGGAAGCTGGGCGCAAGGGAGGAGCTGCCGTTCGCAGAAAGCCTAGGCGCTAAGGTCTATGGACCCGTAACAGTGAGAAGTGGGGCTTCAGGACGCATCCGCAGGTGGCGGCAGGTCCCAGGCAGACTGAGCACCAGTGCTCTGGAGAAAGAGTTGCGGGGGGGACGTCATGGGGAGACGCCAGTCTGGACCTTCGGGCATGGAGCCCGGGCACCCACCCCCGTCCTCAGGGGCCGAGCACAGGCCCCAGGAGGAGCCCAAGGAGGTGGGAGGGGACCAGGGCACAGGGGCAGCTGTGCGGAGAGGCGGAGCAGGAGAGGACCCCCGCCCCGCCGCCCCTGCCCCCAGGTGGTGGTGATGTCAGCAGGGCATTCTGGGTGGAGCAGAGAGGGTGGGGCTGATGGGGGGCGGGGGGTGCAGGAGTCTCAGCGGTGGCGGCTGCCCCGTGAGCCCCGAAAGTGGCCAGGGACCCAAAGCCTCTGGGTGTCGGGCGTGGACCCTCGTCCAGGGCCTCCCCGTCCCCTAGGTGCCAGGGGTGCTGTTCAGTCGAGAGCCCCCAGGCCTCGGCCACAACTGCGCACAAGCAGAGAGGCGCAGCGGCTTGTCTGAGGCGGTGCAGCGGGGTGGTGGCGCACCCTGTTTGCGGCTGCCCTGGCGGTGGTTGCCATCCGGGCAAGGAACGTGGGCGGCCCTGAGTCAGATCTTCTTGCGCAAGTCGCCTGCTTCCTCTGTAAAGCAGGATGACCGGGGCAGGGGACGGGGTGCCTTGGGAGGTCTTGGAAGAAGGAAGGGTCACACCCGCAGCCTCGGGCCTCCTGGGGGCTCAGGGGAGCACCGCCAGGGCAGCCGCCCCCCGGCCGGCGCGGGAGCCCGGAGGCCCAGCAGCGATGGCGGGGAGACCGCGAGGGCGCAGGCAGCGACAAGGCCTTGGTGTTGGCCGGGGTGGCGCGGTCAGCTGAGGCTCCCTGTCCCGTGAGCAGCCCTTGGGGGTGGCCCCGCCTCAGCGACCCATCCCGAGGTCCCCGCGCCCGCGCCCACTTGAGGCTCTGCTGGGGGGTGTGGAGTGGGGGCAGCATCTCAGGGAAGACAGGAGGGCCGCCGCAGCCCCCACCTCTAGCCGTGTGACCCTGGACGAGGAAAGGCCCCTTTCTAAAGGAAGCGCAAGCTGGAAGCACCTGTGTCTCCCCTGTCCCTGAGTCACCCAGCAGTCAGGAAGGTTAAGTGGGCCAGAGAGGGGGTCTTCCTCTGCAGGTGACACTTCTTGCCACAGGCGTAGGGTTGCGCCAAGTCCCCAGATGGCTTCCAGCAGTCAGGATTGGGGAGGCTCCACCCCGGACTCAGAGAGTGGGCGGCGGGCCCAGGCGGGCCAGGCTGGAGGGGCAGGGGCCGTGGGCAAGGACGGGAGGTGGCTGGCGTGGGTGGGCTCGGGCCTGCCAGGGGGAGACGCTGCTGAAAAGGGCAGGGGTCGGGGGCCAGGCCAGGGCTGCAGCCGCCCCTCCTGCTCCCTGGGCAGCGGCGCGCTGGGGCCTGACCGCTGCCCTTCTGCCCGCAGCTGGGCGAGGCGTCCCAGGTGGAGACGGTGTCGGAGGAGAACAGGAGCCTGGTGTGGGTGCTGCTGAAGCAGCTGCGGCCCGGCATGGACCTGTCCCGCGTGGTGCTGCCCACCTTTGTCCTGGAGCCCCGCTCCTTCCTCAACAAACTGTCCGACTACTACTACCACGCGGACCTGCTCTCCCGGTGAGCGGGCACGCTCCGCGTGCGCCCGGGCAGCCCCAGGGCCCCCGCCCCCTGCCCTGTGACTCTGGCTGCTCCATCTGGGTTTCTGGAGGATCCTTCCAGCCAAGGGCCCGAGGCTGAGCTCAGTCCACTGTCCCTGCTGGCTCCGCCTCCGAGGGGACCCCGTCTCCCAGAGCAGCCCTGGGAGGAGCCGGTGGGGAAGGAGGGCAGGGGCAGCCCCAGGCCTGGGCAGGGCAGGAGCCATCGGGGCCGAGCGCCTCTGGGGCCGTCCCCGCGCCCTCCGGGCACCCCGAGCCCTCTGCCCCCTGCTGGCGCCCCAGCAGGGCCGCAGACCGCAGAGGAGCAGAGGGCCTGCCCGGAGCCCAGGCCGAAGGAGCTGGGTGAGGGCGGGGGCCAGGGGGGCAGGGAGGAGGGGGCCGGGGCCCAGGTCTGGAGTGAGGGAGCGCCCTGTCTGTCTGTCCACCCGCCCGCCCGTGCAGGGCCGCGCTGGAGGGGGACGCCTACAGCCGCATGAAGCTGGTGCTGCGGTGGTACCTGTCCGGCTTCTACAAGAAGCCCAAGGTGAGGATGGGGGCGCGAGCAGGGCCGCGGCCCCGAGAGGCGTCCCCTGGCCCCCACCCATGTCCCCGGGCCGTCCCCTACCTCGCAGGGCCGGGCAGGGCCCTGGCCAGCCCCACAGTGGCCCCAGGCCCTCGGGGGAGGTTCAGGCACCGACTCCTTACAGAGCCCCCACCCTCGCGGGGCCCCCGAGGGTGCACCCCACCCTCAAGGAGTCAGCTGCCCACTCCATGGGGCACTGAAGGGGCTTCCAAGCCTGGACCTTGAGGTACCCCTGGGACCCACGGTTTTCAGCCCTGGAGCCCCTCCTGAGAGCCCCACGTCCAGGCTCAGCTGAGTACTGGGCGGCTCCTTCTACAATGACGGGGGGCCCGCGTCCCCGACTGGGACCCCAGCCCCACCACAGAGCCCTGGGCTGCGCGGGGACACAAGCTTGAAGCACAAGCCTGGCTCCACAATTCATTGTGCAGATGGGGAAACGGATGCTGGGGGAGGGCAGGGGACAGCCCCGGAGTGACGCAGCAGGCTGGGCGCGGAGCCAGGTCGCCTGGCTCTGCCTGGGGGCTCCCCAGAGCCGGGCCCCACAGCCCGCAGCAGCACATGGGCAGAGGGGGAGCTCCAGGAGGGCTTCCTGGAGGAGGAGGCCCCGCCTGTAAGGCTGTCTAGGGCAGGACAGTGGGGCGGCACAGGGTCAGTTCAGGGGTGGACCTGGGAAGCCCGGCAGAGGAGGGACTGATGGCAGGCGGCGCAGAGTGTCCGCGACCGCGGAAGAGACAGAGGGGAGGCGCGAAGGGCGCAGCCCGGCTTCTTCCCATCAGACCGGGGCGTCTGAGCCGGACCACCGGGAGACCCGGGAGCAGGGCCCCCCAGCCCGGGAAAGGCTCCCTCTGCAGTGGGGGTGACCTTGGGCTGTTTGGGGAGCAGAGAGGTGCCGGCGAAGGGAGGGGGTGGGGGGGCATGGCCAGGGGACTAGAAGCCACTGGCTCCACCCAGCGTCCTGGGAGAGGATGACCTGATGGTCAAGGTCTCAGGTCCCCTCACAACAGAGAAGTGGACAGGACACTTCGTAGGCTGTCTTCCCCCACAACCTAAACCATAGGGCCCCCAGAGCAGCAGAGGTGCTGCCTCCCGAAGCTGCAGGCAGAGACCTGGGTCCACCCGCGCCCAGCGAGGCTGACCTCCTGCAGTTCCTCACGCGGGGCTCTCTGTCGGTCGCCTGCAGGGGATCAAGAAGCCCTACAACCCGATCCTGGGGGAGACCTTCCGCTGCAGCTGGTTCCACCCCGAGACCAACAGCCTCACCTTCTACGTGGCAGAGCAGGCAAGGGCCCGGCGGGCAGCGCTGGGCTGGGGCGGGGGACTGGGCCCCCCATTTCCCCAGGGCACGCAGGGCTGATGCAGGGTGCCCGTCTGCTCGGGGCCCCAGGACTCAGGCCCGGCTTCCCTGGGAACCGCAGCGAGGGCTCTGCATGCAGGAGGGAAGGGAGCAAGGAAGCCAGCTCTCGCCGACACGGGGCTGCCCGCTGCTGGGGCCACTCCAGAGCCACCTCTGTGCCCACAGGTGTCTCACCACCCGCCCGTGTCCGCCTTCCACGTCAGCAACCGGAAAGACGGCTTCTGCATCAGCGGCAGCGTCACCGCCAAGTCCCGGTTCTACGGTGAGGGGCTCCCCTGGGCCCGAGCCTGGGGATTTGGGGGAGGATTGGGCTCCCCGATTCCGTGGTCCCCACGACCTCACGTGGCGGTGGCTGCGTGTGTGCCCCTCCCACCTCTCTGACCCAGGGACCACGTGGGCAGGAAGGTGCTCGGAGCCTGGAGTTGGGCAGAGCCCCGGCGGCCCGTCTGCATCCGTCTTGCAGGGGCGCTGGGGGTCCCGGGAAAGCACCTGTGTGCGCGGCGCCATCCGCCGCTGAGCAGTCCGTTCGCCACCGCCAGCCACGGGCGCTGTCTGTTTGGGTTGATTAAAGTGAAACCAAACTCCCGGTGCAGCTCCTCTCCTCAGCTGCGGCGGCCGCCCCGCGAGGGCTGAGGCCGCATGTGGCTGGTGGCCCCCGTGGCCGACGGCGCCCAGCAGGAGGCTTCTGTCTTCCCGGAGAGCGCTGTCGGGCCGTGTCGCCCTAGAGCCTGGCGCTGCGGGCGCTCAGAGACCGTTGGATCCCACTTTTCAGTCGGTCGCCCCCTCCTCCCCGTCCTTGCGGGGCCGGTCACACCTCTGTGGCCTGGCGGTCTGCGCAGGAGGCTCGGCTTCTGCCACCCTCCCACCCCGCGCCCCGCCACTGTGGCCGCGCCCCTCAGCCCACAGTCCCCCGCACCGGGGTTGGGGGGAGCCGCCTAAATCCGAGCCGGGGCCCAGGCCAGTGAGAGAGGCTCACAACCGCCCCCACCAGACACCTCTGTCTCAGTGACAGGATAAACGTCAGGTGCAGCACCCCCTCAGGACCCAGGACGCCTGTGACCTGGTGGGGCTTTTACAGAAGCCGAGGCTCAGACAGGCTCAGGGACCCGGCTCCAGGCCCACGGGGCGGGGGGGTCTCCTCCCGTCTGTTGGCAGGACTCTCCGAGCCGGTGACTTAGGGGGTGGGGCTCCAGGTGCCAAGGGCCCTGCTCCACTCACCACCCCACGCCTGTCCCTGCAGGGAACTCGCTGTCAGCGCTGCTGGACGGCAAGGCCACGCTCACCTTCCTGAACCGGGCGGAGGATTACACCCTCACCGTGCCCTACGCCCACTGCAAAGGTCAGCGCCTGCAGGCCCAGGCTCACGGAACCCCTGGCCAGAGGCTTCTCAAAGGGCGAGGGTGTTGGGGACGGCGGCAGTGGGCGGGGCGCCTTCCACGCCCACGCAGAACTCCACGAGCTGGAGACTCCCGCGTCTCTGGGGCTCACGCACAGCCTGAGTATACAAAACTGTAAATATAAATACATCTTCTAAGTCCCTAGAACTTCTGGTTCCCACCAGCCCCTGCTGTCAATCATAGAGGGAACCTTATCCCCTCCCCCACATCCACCTCCATAATATTTTGGGTTTTTTTTTTAACCTCAACATAAAAGAAAAAAAATAGAGGCCACAGTCTGCACAGAAGACCTTTTCTTTTTCTTTGCTCTGCTTTTTAAATCTTCACCTGAGGATGTGTTTATTGATTTTAGACAGAGGAAGGGAAAGAGAGAGAAACATCGCTGTCAGAGACGCACACCAAGCCTTTGCCGCCTGTATGTGCCCCGACCGGGGATTGAACCCATAACCTTCTGGTGTAGGGGACGACGATCTAACCTGGCTGGGGCTAGATCTGTGTCTCGAGAGTGGCTTTGTCATTGTTTCCAGAGCTTTCCAGGGAGCTGAACATAGAAAGTTTTACTTTTAGATTGAGATAGTTGCTTCTCGGCCCGTGGGCGAAGATCCGTGACGACCGAGATCGGCCGGGAGGTCACCGGCGCCCTCCCTTCCGCAGGGCTCTGTCTGCCCGTCGAGCTGGCCTCTGAGCCGTGTCTGTCCCCACACCACTGCCGGCCCCACAGTGACGCTTTGTCTTCCCCGACATCACTCACTCAGATGCCGGCCTGACCCTGGCACCCGCAGGGCGGTGGCAGAGAGGGCGCGTGGCTTGATCTCTGCAGTTGTCCCTGTCCCCAGTGTGTCCCTCTGGGACGTGGGAGGCCCTCCAAACTGTTTCCTCCGTGGTTGTGTCTCCCAGGGGACAGTGGCTTTGGGCCTTTTCTCTCATTTCACGTCTGATTTCTAGGAACTTGCCTCATTCCAAAGTCAAAACTGTAAACAGCTGTACAGTGAAAGACGTCTCTGTCTCTCTCAGACCCCCACCCCACACCACCCCGTAGCCCTCACTCTGGGTCAGTGTGCCCCGAAGACCCCCCCAGGCAGCACAGAGCCCCCCCACCCCCACCCCCACCCCCACCGGCGTCTCCATCCTGTGCAGAGGGATGTGCCATCTTTGCAGCCCTTTGCTGACTCGCTTGTGTTTACCTTCTGGGAAAGAGACATTTTCCGCGCACATTGTTGTGATTAGAGGGGCGGCGCCTCCCTTCTGTAGTTAGAAGGCAGCTCTGTGTGGCCAGGAAAAGGAGGTTTGTTCCTTCCTTCGTTGATTCAATCACACGTGCGTTAGTTAAATCGTAGTCACCAGCTGAGCTCACCCTGGGCACAGCTGTGGGCAGGGGCCACGTGTGCCCCCGGGAGCCTCCATGGGGCAGAACCTGCAGCATCAAATGCAAGTGGCCCAGCAACGGCGGGACGGTCTGCTGGAGGCCTGAGTAGCGGTGGCAGACACCCCGTTCCCGGGGCAGCGGGACCGAGGAGCCAAGCTCCGTCCCGGCTCCGCTCCCGCACGGGGCGCCCATCCCTGAGGCCCCGCCTGGCCGCTCCCGCCCTCTGCCCTCTCCCTCCGCCCTCCGGGGGTCACACAGCCCGCAGGCCCCCCACGGGGCCAGGACCCGGCCTGGGCGCTGACCCTGACGCCGGCTGCGTTCCAGGAATCCTGTACGGCACCATGACCATGGAGCTGGGCGGCAGCGTGACCATCGAGTGCAAGAAGAACAACTTCCGAGCTGAGCTGGAGTTCAAGCTCAAGGTAGCGCTGGCCACAGCGCCCCCAGCCACTCGGAGGCCCTTGGGGCCGTGGGGCCGGAACTGGGGAGGAGCGAGGCCTCGGGGACCCACCCCCGCGCCCTTTGGGCCCATATGCGGTTTCCTCAGCGCGGGCCCCTGGGGGGGCGGCCCCTGCCACCCTGGCAGTGCAGTCGGGACCCACAGAGGGAGGGGGGTGCCCGCAGCCACATGGAGCCAGGACAGGCCCGTGGCACGGCTGGGAGGCCTGGCGGGGCCCCCGCGTCCTGGAGCTCGGCTGAGGCCCTGGGCCAGAGTAGTGGCCTCTGGTTGGGGTCCCGTCCCAGATGGCCTCCCCAGCACTGGGGGGTCAGAGCCTGCGCCACGTCAGGGTGCCTGCTCCCCGTCCCCCAAGGATGGGCCTCTGGCTGGAGCCTCCTTCCCGCAGCTCAGCAAGGGGCGCACGGGCCGCATACAGGCCGCCACGCTCACAGGTGTCCATCTCGGGCGTGTCCCCTTCAGCCTTTCTTTGGGGGCAGCACGAGCATCAACCAGATCTCAGGGAGGATCATGTCGGGAGAGGAGGTCCTGGCTCAGCTCTCCGGACACTGGGTGAGAGGCCGCCCTTGGGTCCCCCGGGGCCCCGGACGGCCGTGGTCCCACACCGCTGACCCCGCCTGGCTGCCTGCGGCAGGACCGGGAAGTGTTCATCCAGGAGGAGGGGCGGGGAGGCGCGGAGCTCTTCTGGAACCCGAGCGCGGAGGTGCGCGGGCGGAGGCTGCGGAGGCGCACGGTGCTCCTCGAGGAGCAGGCGGAGCTGGAGTCGGAGAGGTGAGGCCATCCAGCACCGAGGGGCCCGGAGGTCCCCGTGGGGCATGGCCAGGCCTGGGCAGGGCTTTGGGGCTGTGGGCAAGTCCCCAGGACTCCCTGGCAGGGAGGGAGGACCTCAGAGTGGACCCCGGTGGCAGCTGAGATGTGCTGCAGGACGAGTGGCAGCTGGAGGGAGAGGGAGTGAGGACTGGGGCCTGTCCTTGCCAGCAGGTGACCAGCAGCCCACAGGAAGGGCCCTGCTGGCAAGAGGTGTGAGCTCGGCATAGGAAAGAACCATCTCGTGTTGAATAAACAGCATCCCGGGAGACACAGGCCCCCTGAGAGGCAGTGAGCTCCCTGTCCCTGGGGGCAATCAAGGGGAGGTTCCTCTAAGCCTCCCCTCCAATGCTGAGGGGGCGTGGCTGCCCAAGTCCCCCAGCTCAGAGCAGGTGCCTGTCCGTAGGCTCTGGCAGCACGTCACCAGGGCCATCAGGGACGGTGACCAGCACAGGGCCACGCAGGAGAAGTTTTTACTGGAGGAGGCGCAGCGGCAGCGGGCCCGTGAGCACCAGCAGAGCCTCACACCCTGGACGCCCCGGCTGTTCCACCTGGACCCCGCCACCCAGGAGTGGCGCTACCGCTTCGAGAAGTGAGTGCCGGCAGCTGGCGCCCCGGGGCCTGTGTTGGGCTGGACCAGCAGACGGCCCGGCCCGCGCGGGCCCTGGGCCTGAGAAACACGGGGGAGGTCCTACTCCCCAACTCCCCGCGAGGAGCAAGTGATGGGGGTGGCGGTCACAGGGGGGCTGCTCTGGCTGGCCCTTCGTGCGGACCCTGCACACGGTGCGGTCACCCTTGGCGGGGCTCTGGCTGGCATGGTGCCCCTTCCCCCGAGGCTCACTGCCCCCACCCAGGGACATTTTCTGGGCCTCCAGCCACAGCCCCTGGGACCCCCTGAGGGACGTCGCACAGTTTGAACAAGACGGCGTGCTGCACACCCTGCGGCGGGAGATCCTGACCGGCCAGAGCCGTGCGGTGGGCAGTCCAGGGCCTGGGCACCAGGTCAGTCCCCAGGGCCCCTGCCGAGGTCCCCAGCAGTGGGAGGGGCAGTCGGGCTGCAGGCAGCCCTCCTCCTCTCTGTCCCCTGCCCCGCCTCCCCCTGCGTGGGACCCTGGACACCTGGATGTGCAGGACACCCCATGTGCAGGGCTCTGCGCCCATGGACGGGGCCTAGCGCCCCGCTCCCCGAGCCGCCCTCCGTGGCGTTAGCGCACGATCCCATTCATCAGACGGGGAAACAGGCTCGGGGAGCCAGGGACGGCCCGGCGGCGGCGGCGGCGCAAGCCTTTGCTCAGATGCCCGGGCCTCCAAGGGCAGCAGCCAGAAGGCGAGCAGCCCCAGGGCGCTGTGCTCTCCGGGGAAGCCTGGCTGTGGGTGGGCCCCCGGCCCAACTCCTCTGCTTCTCAGCAGGGGCCTGGCCCAGAGCGGCGGCTTCGCAAGGCCAGCGACCAGCCCTCTGGCCACAGCCAGGTCACCGAGAGCAGCGGATCCACGCCCGAGTCCTGCCCAGAGCTCTCGGAGGAGGACGGCGATGGAGACTTTGTCCCTGGTGAGCGCTCCTGAGCAGCCCTTCTGTGGGTGGGAAGGCCGGGGTACCACCCTCCCCCGAGCGGCCAAGGGGCCGAGTGGCCGAGTCCCAGGAGGGAGCCGACCTGGCCGTCCTCCCAGGGGCCCGCCAGGGACCACGCGGAGCCCAGGGCGCATGGGAGCTGTGGGGGGGGGCCAGGCACCCCAACTCTGCGCTCAAAGGGGAGGGCACCTCCCTTGCCTGGCGGGGGGGCTGTTGGCTGCGCGGGACCCCTCTGTCTGTGGCACCCTGGCCCCACCCTACCCCCCGCCCCGTTACCCTCACAGGCCGAGTGTCTGCCATCTCGGCCCCCACGTCTGTGGTGATGGGCCACACTTGGCCACTCCTGTCTCCCAACGCTTATTAGAGCTCAGCCGAGCCTGGGGTCCCTCCTGAGACGCCGCTGGGCGTCTCCCCCGTCTCTCAGCACCATTAGCTTTGTCCCGAAGGGTCCCATGAGGCGGGGCGGGGCCTTGAGCTGGGCATGACCCGTGGGACCCCCATGCTGGCTTGCCGATGTCCCAGCTCCCCCTCCATTCGGCCCTCCCCTCCCCTCCCGTGTCCCCTTGTCCCTGGCCCTGCGACTGGCGGCCGCCCTCCCAGGCAGCGAGAGCCCCTGCCGGCGGTGCGGCAAAGAGGCCCGGCGGCTGCAGGCCGTGCACGAGGCCACCCTGTCCCTCCGGGAGGCGCAGCAGGAGCTGCACAGGTAGGCCCCCCGGGGCCCTGATCACGAGCGGCTGTGAGCTGCTGCCCTCGGGGTGTGGGGGCCGCGAGGGCCTAGGCCGGCCGCCGGGCCGTGCCCCCTGCCGGGGCAGGCGGCCAGCAGGCAGTCCCGTGGGAGCGGTGGAGCTGGATGCGGGATGGACGCGAGCTGGGCAGAGCAAGGAGGCCAGAGGAGGATGAGGTGGCCGTGGGCTGGGAGAAGTCCCTGGCCGATCGGAGCAGTGGCCCCGGGTCATGGTGGCGTGGAGCCAGGCCGGAGCCGAGGCGGCGCTGCCAGCTGCAGCTGCCCCCTAGTGCCACCTCGGGCCCCTCGAGGTTCACTGTTGTGTCCCCAGTGGCCCTCACAGCGGACGCGCAGGTGGGAGGGGGGAGCGAGGCGTGCTCAGGCACCATGGTGGGCCCTTCGGTGAGCAGGCTCCCCAGAGGCAGGGCAGAGCCACAGCCTGCAGCTCCGCTCTGAGGCCGGGCTCCTGGCTCCGCCCAGGCTCACTGGCTGTGGGATCTCGGGGCCACCCATGCCTGTTTCCCCCGTATCCCCGGGCTGGGATGAAGATGGCGCAGGGGGCTGAACTCTGCCTGGCGCCCAGCTCCTGGCCGCCCCTGGAACCCGGGACCGAGCAGCGGAACGGCTCAAAGCCCAGCCCTCCGCTGGGACGCTCCCATGCTTCGCCCACAGGAGCCCGGCCGCGCTGCAGTGCCAGCTCGCTCCTCGGGGACTGTGGGGGCACCAAGAGGAGGGAGGCTGTCCCCTCGGAAGAGTGCCACCTGCAGGGTCAGGGAGGGCTTCCTGGAGGAAGATGTAGGTGGCCAGGGAAGAGCTGGAAGAGGGAGAGCAGAAGCCACTCCTGAGAGCGGTGGGACCCCAGGAGGGCCCCCGCTGGGAGAAGGGGCGACCCCACGAGCTAGGCAGGCTGTGAGGGTCCCGGGGCCACATAACGGTGCCACGGGCGAGCAGCTTAAACCGCAGACCCTCACGACCCCCGTCCTGGAAGCTGGAGTCTGAGATCAGGCATCCCAGGGCTGGCTCCTCCTGAGGCCTCTCTCCCGGTGGGTAGATGGTGGTCCTTCTGTGCGTGTCTGTACCCTGATCTCTTCTCATAAGGACACCAGTCACATGGGGTTAGGACCCACCCTAGTGACCTCGTTTTACCTTCATCGCCTCTTTAAAGGTTCTTTCTCCAAATACTGCCCCATTCTGAGATGCTGGGGGTCAGGGCTCCAAACTATGACTTTGGGGGCTCGAAGGAAGGGGGCGCAACTCACCAGCAGAGCTGGGGGGTGCTCGGCCCCGCAGCCCTGACCCCGCTCCCTGGAATGGGTGCCCGGGAGCCCAGGGCCGCCGCTGTGCACGGGGCGCCCCCCACCCCGATCACGCCCCCCTCACTCCGCCGTCCTGGCCTGGCCGGCCTGGCTGAGCCACTCCGTCCTCTCCTGTCAGGCAGCTTGTGGCCCTGCTGAGCTCCACGGCGAGGGCCAGGCGGGCAGTGGCCCCTGGCCCCCTGCAGAGCCCGCGCTCCTGGTGCCTGCTCTGTGCGCTCCTGGCCTGCCAGCTGCTCCTGAACCTCATCCTCACGTGAGCGCCCCTGGGGGGGCGGTGCAGCCACCTCCTGCGGGACTCAGCCTGCTCCTGCCCCACCTCCAAGGCACCCAGCACTTTAAACCGGCCCCAGGGAGGCAGAGGGGCGCCACGAGCTCAGCCCCTGTGGACAGAGGGGCCCCGGGGACAGGAGGGTGGCAGGAGGGACCTGGGGCTGCCCAGCTCCTCCTGGGGAGGCGCTGGCCTCTCTGAAGGGCCCTCACCCCGCTCTGGCCTTAATGCTCAAGCCAAATGCCACTTTGTCTTGCGACACACGCCCAGGTCATCTGGCCTCTCTCTCCCAGCCCAGCACCTACCTGCCATGAGGGGTGGACGCAGGCAGGGAGGAGGTGGCCCCCAGCGTTGGACGTCTGCTCCCCAGCCGGGTATAGGGGAGCGGGGAGCAAGCCAAGGAGTCCCCAGGGCTGCCTTGGTTCAGACCCACAAGCTGTCGCTCCCGAGACCCTGCCCCTGTCGCTCTGGCATGGCCTAGAGCAGGGAGCTGGGATGGCCTTGAGGGGGTTCCTGGAATCCTGCGGCCCACCTGCTGGGAAGGAGCCCAGTTAGAAGGAAGGAACCCGCCCTACCTCCAGCAGCCCAGCCCTGTCCTAGGGGAGGGGCGCCTGTGTTCACCGCTGTGTGGGCGCTGGGCCTTCCTGGGCCGCTTGCCAGCTTGTGAGGGGTGAAACGCACACTCACTCGGGCACACCTGGGGACGCCTTCCCCGGGCCCGGGCTGGTCCCCTCGTTCCTGCACCCCCACCCCCCAGCCACACACTTGCTAAATAAATGCGAAAGCGACACCTTGGGCAGGCGGCAGTGTCTGGATTCTGCTCCTGTGTCCAGGGCCACATGTGCGCGTGTGCACGTGTGCGAGCACCTGCGCGCGCCGGTGCCCACCGAGCCTGACCGCTGCGGTGGCCGGGCCCTCTGAGCTGCCTGCCTCATCCTCCGGTTTTGTATCCATGTCTTGTCCCTCCTTCCCCAGTTGGGGACATGTCTATGCTCCGTTCCCTGAAATAAAGGAACACACCCGTTGGGTGTTGCCCTCTTGGGGGCATTCTGGAAATGGGAGTCGTCTTCCTGGGCAGAGGCCCCACCCAGCAGGGGGCCGTCCGGGCGTGGGGGCCCTGGGGAGGGTGCGCTGCAGTTTGCAGGGAGCAGTGAGAAGCCGGTCCAGGACGTAGGGGTCCCATAAACTGTTCGACAAGCCAGTTGAGGACATGGAGTCACTTGGCCTGGGTGGCCTCTCGCTCATTTGGCCTGGGCCCTTCCCCCCGCGACGGCCCCCTCCCCGCCCTGCTGCCCCCAGCCCGGCCCTGGCTTTGGTTCCTCTGGGACCACTGTTCCCAGTACTCTAGTCACTAGGGCGGAGTGGGTGGCCTGCCTTCGCTGGGACACCTCAGGGTGCCCAGGGCGCCCGTGAAGGAGGGCAGGGGCCGCTGACCACAGACCCCACAGACCACTGCAGAGGGGGCCGTGGCCCTGCACTCACAGCTCAGGAAAGAGGAGCGACCAGCCGGAAAGGGGCGGGCAGGGCACGGCAGGGCGCCTGGGGTCCCCCGCCGTCCAGGCCTCTCCACCGGGGCCCCCACGGCCCGGGACAGGAGGGGCTGGGACGGGGCCCAGCCGGATCAGGCGCGGCAGCCGTACGCAGCCCGCCCTGAGCCCCAGAGGGCAGCGGCCCTGCCGGGGCGTGTGCGCCCTCGCCCTCGGGGGGCAGTTTCTGCGGGGCGGTGCGGGGCGGGCTGCTCTGGACAGCAAGCCGGGCCCTTCCAGAGCCGGAGTGGTCCTCCCCGCCCCCCACGCGGCTGACTCAGGAGCTCCCCCTCCCCTGTCCTGCAGCCTGGGGTCCTCTGCACAATTCTTTCTGTCCTTTGTGTGCAGGGCACTATCGTCACTCCACAGGTCGGGAAGGTGGGGTGGGCCCGGCCCAGAGAGGCGGCGTCCAGGGCCTCAGCGCAGCCCTTGGAGCCGGCTTCTGGGGGCACCACAGGTGCCGGGGGTGATGCTCCAGAACGACGCGGGGTCCGGGGCTGGGCCTCCCACCCTGCCCCCCACGGATGCTCTGGGTAAGTGTGAGGCTGAATGGCTGGACACTGTGTGGAGAACTCCTTCCCAGTCCGGGGACCAGCAGCAGGAAATGTGTGGTTCTGGGGGACACAGTTATTTCAATGACCTTTGTCAGCTTGAGGAGCCAAAGCATCACTATTTTCCTGCTCAGTTTGGACTCCCAAGCAGCTGCGGTTCCCGCCTTCTCCCAGGCTGGGGGCCGGGGAGGGGGTCATTGGGGGAATGCTGGGAGAGTAAGGGGGTACAGCTCCCCTGTGGCTGTGCCTGGGCTGTGGCTTGTCACTCCCATGAAGGGAGGTCTACTTGCCCTGGAAGGTCCTGGAAGAACCGTTGCCTCCTCGAGCCCTCACCGCCCCCCACATTCCCCATCGTTCCTCCCCAGAGGCTTCAAGGCCTTTTGCGCTGAGGGGGAGGGAGGGACAGCGGCGGGGTTTGGAGTGGTCCCCGGGGGGCCTATGTCTCTGGGGTCAGCGGCTGGAGGCGCTGTGCTTGGCCAGGGCCGGAGGGGGCGGGGGCACGAGTCCCTTCCTTTGCCGGCACCGCGGGGCAAGTGCAGAGACCGGGCGCCTGGGAGCCCACGCGGGGCCCTGAGGGTGGAAGTGGGGACATGTGCCCGTCCTCCAGCCCCTGGCAGAGACGGTGAAACTCTGGGGCTGCGGAGGCCGGAGCTCTTGCTTGGAGGGCGGCCGAGACCGAAGCTCAGCCAGAGGCTCCGCTGCCGTGCCGGCCTGCTCAGAAGTGGCTGTTGGGGAAACCGTGTCCGCGCAGACGCCACGACCCGCGCCTGGGCCGCTCTGAGCTCGCGCGGCCAGTGGGAGCCTTGCTAGGCGCGCTGGGTGAGCCAGGCGCGCGGCGGGGGCTCTGGGGAGGGAAGACCCCGAGGCGGAGGGGGCTGAGCGCGGGCGCCAGCAGTCCCAGCACCCAGGGTGGTCGGGGCTGAGCGGGGGATGGAGGGGAGGGAACGGAACGGGGACCCGCAGGGACCGAGCGCTGCTCCGGTCCCCGAGCCGGGGTCCCCGTGCGGAGCCTCAGGAAACGGGATGAGAATGGATACAAGATTCTCCGTGTGTATCCGCGTTAGGTTCCTAAGTTCTGGAACTTTAAACAATTTTATTAAATCTGAGTATTCGCTCAGAAGAGCTAAGTCAGGGTGTCTGTGAAAATAGTTTGCGGAGAAAGCTGTGACATGGACACTGTGTCAGCGGTGTTGTCTGCGATTCTGTTTGCTTTTCAGTGATGTTTATTTAATATTCAAAGTAAACATTTCGCTTTCCGCGGCTTACAAAAACTGACTTCCACTTGAAGTCTTTAAAGCGCTAGAAAGAACTTGCCTTTATTTTATAAAGATTTTATTTTTATTTGAGAAGAGGGGAGGCAGGAGAAAGAGGCCTTTAAAACGCGGCCTCTTTCACAACTGTCCCTCCAGCCTGCCGGCCCCTTTTCCATCCCGGAGTCTTCCTCTCCTCCCGCCTGGGCTCCGCCGCGAGAGGGGCGGTCCGCTCAGGAGCGCGGTGCCAGCCAATCCGAGGCTACGCCGGACACCGCTCCGCGGCCATTGGACGAGCCTGCACGAACCAGCTGTAGGGGCGCCTCCCAGGAAAAGCCGGGACGTGGGGGTAAAGGGATTTGCCGCGGACGCTGCGCCGACCTCGGCGCGCCCGTGAGTCCCGGCGCGCCATGGGCTTGCCCTGTGCCGTCCTGCCGATGTCACTGCTGCTGTCGCTGCTTCTGCTGCTGCTGGGGCCGCAGGTGGGTACGGCGGGGGCTCCGGGGAGGGCGGACCCCTACAGCGGGGCGGGGACCGCCCGGGGCTGGACAGCGTCTGGGACGTCGTGCGAGCACTGCCGCTGGGAGGGAGACGGGCCACGGTCCGCCTCGCGGGCACCCGAGCGCCGAGTTCGAGCGGCTCAGGGCGGGAATTCCCCCAGCGTAGGGCGGCTGTCACGCGGCGGCCGGCAGGTTGCTGTCTCCTTTCCTCTCCCTCCCCACCCCGCTCCCCACTCCCCTCCCCCACCCCTCCCCCATCTCTCCCACCCCTTCCTCGCCCCACCCCTCGCCCCTCCCCCCTCCCCCCACCCCTCTCCTTTTCTCTTCCCCTCCCTTCTCTCCACTCTCCTGCCTTTTCTTCTCCCCTCTCCCTTTGCCTCACTTCTTCCCTCCTCCCCATTCTTCTCCTCTCCTTCCCCCCCATCCTCCCCCTCCCCCGTCTTCACTTCTCTCATCTCCCTTCCCTTCTCCTCTGTCCTCTTCCCACTTCTATCTGCACGTCTCTCCTCCCCCCTCCTCCTCCCCAACTCCCGTGCCCTCCCCGCCCCCTCGCCCATCTGCCCCATCCCCGCCCCTCCTTCCTCGGTCGCACCTTTTCCTCTCTTCCACACCCCACTCTCCTCACCTCCCTGCCCTCTCTCCCCTCTCCTTTACTTCGGCAAAAAATGTGGTACGGTGAGATCTGTATGTGAAGAGGAAAAAAGAAAATAAAAGTGGATGTGAAACAATAAATGAAATAGAAAGGCGTAAGCATGGAGGCGACAGCCCAGGAAGAAGGCCTCGGTCCTGTGTCCCTGCTAGGCCCCCCAGATGTGTCCTTGCTGATGTTCCTATCACTGTCACTGAGCTCCTCTTGCTTGTGAAACCTGTGCGTTGTAACCCCTTCCACCCCAGGGGACGGAAGGAGGAGGAGGACAGCCCCTGCCTGTTCCGGTGGCCGCTGGGACTCACGGAGCTGTGACCCGTGGGAAGCTGAGAGAACTGCCCTGTGCCGCACAGGGGACAGAACGGGCGGGCTCCCCATGAACTGGTCCTTGTCCTTCTCCAGGTGCTCGTGACCGCCCCCACGAACCGGATGTCCCAGCAGAGCCAGGAGCTCCCCGGCCTCATGAGCACATGCGGGCCGGGCAAGTACAGGTCCTCCGGCCACTGCTGCCAGCTCTGCCCTGCGGGTGAGCCCGGGCCGCGACTGGGGCTGGACCGCAGGATCCACGCGCATCAGGTCGTGGGCAGGGACCCTCCCCGACAGTGGAGGGGAGGCTGGCCAGCGAGCACCTGCGAGGGGGCACGTGGCCCCCGGGTCACCATCTAGAAGCAGGCACCATCTGCGCTCCGCGAGGGTGACAGGAACCGTCCTGGCCCAGTGGGGTGCTCCTGGTGCCTGAACAGATCACGTGTCCCGTGTGGGTGGGAACGGGGTGGTGCTCTGGCCAAGGCTGAGCCTGGGCCTCAAGCCCAGGCCCAGGCTCAGGCAGCGTCGGAGCTGCAGGGGGCGGCTGGTGGTGTCCGCTGGCTGGGGAGGCAGAGCGCCGGCCAGGGTCCTCTGCACTTCCTGACCCCGGACAAGAGGCGCATCCTGGGGCCTCGGTGTCTGCGGGGGCGGGGGGGGGCGCGGGTCCCTGTGGTGCCCACGGCACAGCGGTCAGAGGAGCGGGCGCTGGGCGGGACTGGAGTTCAGGGAGGCGGGATCCCAGGGGGTCTGTGCTTCGTCATTTCCAAGAAGGTGTCACATCCAGAGGTCACTTTGATCCCGAACTCCAGACAGAAGGATTTTTCTGTTCTCACAGGGGCGGCTGACCCCAGGGGCAGGGTGGGCAGGCGGCACCGTGGGGACGCCAGGCGGGCCCGCAGGGGTCTGGTTGCAGTGCCCTCCTCTTCTGTAGGTGAGTATGTCCATGAACCCTGCCGCCGCCCCCACCCCCGGGGACAGTGCCGGAAGTGTGAGGGAGGGACGTTCACCGCCTTCCCCAACGGCCTGGAGTCCTGCCTGGTGTGCAGCGCCTGCTCAGAGGGTGAGTCTCCGCCCGGGCGCCTTCCCTGGCCGTGGCCCCTGCAGCCGCTGGACCCCGCTGCAGTCCCTCCCGTCGGGCCTCAGTGCTCGGCCGCGAGGACACCCACCGTTCTGCCGAGAGATGTTAGGAGAAAACGGCGCCT